TTTTGGAAAGTTTCAAATTGTTTTAAAATGTTTACAAATTAAGCAAATTTTGTGTTTTTACAACATAGACATAGATGAATGTTTTAATGGCAAAGCTTGTGACTTGCGTTACAGCATTTGTATCAACACAGTTGGTTCTTTTACATGCAATTGCAAACCTGGTTATGAAAAAATTCCCAACACATTGAGTCCAACTTGTAGAGGTTTGTTTAAATATAGAATCTTTTACATTCTTTTTTTCAGGTATTATGGATAAAACTATCAATTGTATAATTTTATTATAATTATATAATTCAATCAGTCTGGTATAAAATAATGATCTTGGCTTCAATCCTATGATTAATGTTAAATACTTTATAACATATAATTGTAATATTGTAATTTTCTAAGTCACAAGTGACATTCCAAACTTGATTAAAAATGGACGAGGTTTAAATAAACAACAGTACAGAGGGTACAGAGGGGGTGTATATTTATCAAATTTTTTCTGACACCCTCTCATATTTATTCCAGTAATATCATCCTGGTCATAATTTGAAAATGCGGAAAATATTTAACAAAAAATATCTGGAATATATTTCATCTTGTGATAAGGAAAATTATTAGCAGTTGTTAAGAGATTCAACTTTGTATAAATATTATATTTTCAATTCATCAAGGATTTCAACAAAGGCGTCAAAAGACTATTACTGGAACCGGATTGTGTTTTCAAAATATAATGTATATGCAAAATGTTTGAACACATCTAGTCTTATTACCCATATGAGAACCATCCATAGTACAATTATTGAAAATAGGAAAGTAGATGAAACATCTGCTCAATCTACTTTTTTTTTTCCTGAAGAGAATCAACTATGCGTTAATTGGTATTGTATTGGTAATCATATGGGGGTAGTTGATTTTTTCTACAAAAAATCATGTACCTGCAATAGCCAAACATGCACGAGTGGCCGATCAAATGAAGAAAATGCTGATGTAAAAGTAGGTAAAATTGAAATCATGCAATCAAGTTTGGATCATTGGAACAAATAGTTTTTATGAGGAAATAAATTTTAAATTTTTAGAAGATATTTTAAAAGTGTTAAAGCTTATTGAATTGTTAAGGAGCATAGTTTAACTAATTAACCAGTGAAGATGTTAATATTTTTTGTTTAAAAGTCTTTATGAACAAACACCTAATTTAAGTATAGTAATGCACTCACAATAATTGTTTAGTGCTGCTGTTAAGATGCAAAGCCTCGAATCAAGTATGTCAAAAAAATAATGGTTGCAGTAGTGGTGCAGTGATAGAATGGTCATTTCATAAATGAGTAGTTCAACAAAGTTGCAACATCCTCTAACAAAGATGGTTTTGTTCAGACCCAAGTTTAGGAGTTCTGATCCATTTTTAGAGATACTAAAGGAGTTTAAGCTGTTATGGCAAATAGAGTTTAAACGTCAAAAATAAATTTAAGTAAAACTGATGCTGTTCTCAAAACAAAACAATCCAACATGTTCAACATGCAACATGTTCAACATGCAGTAAAATGTTAATATCCTGCAAAATATTAACATCCAGCAAAATATTAACATCCATCTATTTGCTGAACCTATAGCATATAAAGTTTAGAAGACGTGTTAATCATTGTATATATATTTTTATGGCAAATTATGTCTTATGTCTTTTGTAAAGTTTTTTAAAAAACCTAAATTTAGTCAATTGATGCCAAAAGCAACATATTTATACTTTTCACAAAAAGCTGTAGTAGTTAATTATAAAAACTTATAATTAACATTTAAATATTGTTTTACAAATTTATAATTTCATGTATAGTTTTATTTATTTACATAAAACTTCACATATATGACTTGACTTCACATTTATTTACATAAAACCTTGCATTTATTTACATAAAACTTCACATTTATTTACATAAAGCTTCACATTTATTTACATAAAACTTCACGTATAAGACATAACTTCACTCTGTAAAAATGTACTCTTTGACACATCAGTCATTTGTAAAAATAGGTCAATGTTATTGCCCAAGTTTTTTTAACCATAAAAATGAACTTTTTGTATTTTTTTTTTTTTTTTTTTTTCAGAAATCTAGTAACATTTTTTCAAACATCTTAGAAATCAAGTTTAAACCATTTCAAAATTTTCTTTGCAAAATAATTAGCAAAGTGATCTTTTTGTATACTACATCTTGTATCTTCTGTACTCGAACTTCTGCATCACTAGAATAGCAAAAAGATTTATTTCACTGATCAGAAGCATAAATATGAAATAATAAAATATATTTTACTTTAGATGTTAATGAATGTTGTCCAGTTAACAATTGCTACAGTGATAGTAGCGTGGTGGCAACTTGTACAAATTCAGTAGGCTCATTTGGCTGTAAATGTCCTCCTGGTTTTTGGGGAAACGGCTATCCTTTAAATGTAACACTGCCTTATAATGGAACAGGGTGTAATGGTATGAATTGCATAAATATTCAAATAACAAAAATATGAATCATAAACATTGTTTAAATTATAATTGAATAAATCAAAAGGTTTGGTAGAGTTTATTTAGATATTGGTTTGTATTTTCTGAATTATATTTAATTTTTTTTCAGATATTGATGAATGCTTCAACAGTCCTTGTTTGGATACCCAACAATGTATAAACACTCCTGGATCTTTTATGTGCTTGTGTAAACCTGGTTTCTATTTAGAAAAAAAGTTAAAGTTATGCCTCGGTAATCATTTGAAACAAGTTTTAGTTATCTGTGTTTGTATATAAAAAATTTTATTTTTTTAATTATTTAGTTATTAGTTTTTATTTTTTTTAAATTGAGTTAATAAGTTCTAAAAAAAAATGCTCAATATTCTTAAAATCAGAACAGTAAAAGTTTTTAAAAAACATTTATCTAACTTTTTTATTCCACTTTATTCCTCAGTTATTCTATGACTAAAACTCTACTGGAAGAACATCTAAATTTAAAAAGTTCAAGTTATAAATAAAATATTTCACAGGAACAAAAGAATTTTTGTACAATTAAATAAAAATTAGATCTTTATTTATTTGCATTTGAAAAGTGTGCAAAATTCAAAATGTAACACCAATAAGAATAAAACTCGATAAGAGAGTGTAAAAGTTAATAAACAGCATAATGAAGTTTTTGTGAATGAATGACTTCTAACAGAGTTAAAAAAGTAAAAAAAATCAAAGAGATGATGAACAATGTTTCAAGTCATAAAAAGATTAAATTTAACTCTGCAATACTCAAGAGATTTAAGTTGGAAAACAATAAGTCTTTAGTGTATGCAATATGACATCTGCATACAACTCTGGCTAAATGTTTTTGAACTTTATCTATGCAATTTATATCATAAGGTGAGGGCTCTTACCTTATGATATAAATTTAAAAGAATTTTAAAAGTAGAATTTTGTATCAGAAAGCATTGTGATTCCAATATTCTGAATTAAATAAACAGTTTCCATATTGCTAATGGAAGTTAATGAATAAGAATGAAAAAAAAAATATTTTTCATATGAAAATGAACAAATTTGTTGTTTGAGTTGCCAATTATTTAACCTCGCAGAAGTATTTTTAAAAGTAAAATTTTTTAAAAAATTTAAAATGAAATATATAATAGAAGAAATATTTTTTAAAGTATTTTCAATATAAATATTGTTGTAATCATTTCTTAATTGGTACAACTCAATATCATCTGCAAAACAGCTTAATGCCACCATCTCCATCAATGTAAGAAAATATGTCATTAATAAAAATTAAGAATAATGTAGGTCTTAATACAGTTCTCTGTGATATTCCTCTCATAACTGGTATGTTATTGGAATATGAAGTACCAACACACACACATAAAAGCGATTAGTTACAAATTTTTTTTTCCAGTTAAACAGTTGTATTTAATTACCATAGTGTTGCAAGGTTAGTAGTTTAGGATGAGTAACAATCAAATCCTTTTGTCAAGATGATATCGACTATCTTTTTGTTATTTATGGCAGAGGTCCATTAGTTTAAAGTTGCCAACATTTGAATGCATGCAGACCTGTGATTTAAAAAAACCAAATTGATGTGAAATAAAAGTTATTTACTAATATATAGTTTTTTGTGCTTTTAGCAATAATTCGTTCCATAACTTTGCAAATGTTATGGAATCAATTATTGGTACAAGTCATGGAAATATGTCTGCAGTTGTTTGGTAGATAAAGGCTTCCTTTCTTAAAAATTAGAAAAATTACAGCTAATTTTTAATTTTTTGATATAGTATATGTAGTCATTGACGCTTTAAACAAAATTGAAAAAAGAATGGCAAGGGTAACCATTTAAGGATTTAGAAAAATATGCTGGGAGTTTCTGTAGCTAACAATTAAACAACAAAATTTGTTGTTTCATCACTACAAAAACAATACAATACTCAGTTTGAGTTTTGATGGAATGGAATATCTAACAGCGTTCTAACAATGTTATCTGTGGCAAACACAGAAGCAAAATAACTGCTTAAAATACAATCATCTAAACAATTAGAACCAATCAAAGTTTACAAGTGATAAACAGGATGATGACACTTGGATTGATAGTATTTTTATTATTTAGCATCATATAGACATAAACAATTCTTGTATTTGGTAAAAGTGTGTAGGTTTCCTTTGCATTTTTGTTATAGATTGTGTTTTTCGGATGTTAAATATTAAATTACTTGTAGCAATTACCATTTATTAAAGCTTTGTTGATAGAATTTTAGTTGATCTTTTTGAAGGTAAATGAAATTGGAAATTTTACTGTTAATTAAGGTTCAAAATTGAAATTAAAAAAATAGTACAATGGTCACAGTTGTTGGTGAAAGGGGCTTTAGTTACATCATTGTATACATTTTATTGTTGGTTAATATAAGATCTAAAATATCATTTAATTAGGTACTGTTTAGTACTAGCTGAGTCAATGCATTCACCATACAAGTTGCTATTAACAAATCGTGACAAGAATCTCTAAGGCTAATAAGTATTGACCACTCAATGAGTGGTAGATTGAAGTCGCCTGAAACAATACAAGTATGATTGCAAGCTGATGAAATTTTGCATGCACATGGAATAAATGCATAAAATGCCTGCTTTTTGTGACTAGAGGAAACAAATACACAAGTAGTTTCAGTGTCTATAAATTCATCAGGAACATCAGAAATAGTTTGTATTGAGTGGTTTGTATTGAATATATATATATATATATATATATATATATATATATATATATATATATATATATATATATATATATATATATATATATATATATATATATACACACACATATATATATATTTATATATATATATATATATATATATATATATATATATATATATATATATATATATATATATATATATACACACATATATATATATATATATATATATATATATATATATATATATATATATTTATATATATATATATATATATATATATATATATATATATATATATATATATATATATATATATATATTAATGATAATAAAAATAATCAGACCTTGGAGTTAGGATTGGCATTCGGCAATGCCAACTTAAAAATGTTTGAGGTCAGCAAAAAATTGCCGACCTTGATTCTATTTTTTATGTTAAATCCTTTGTGTCAAATTTTTTTTTGCCAACTTGATGCAGACCTCTACTAATTTAAGTTAGATGAAAAAATTTAATTTGATGATGAAAAACAACTTTTTTTTAATGCTTGGGAACACAAGTTTGTTAAAAACAAAGGTGGCGTTATTAAAAATTTAGAATGCAGACAGTAGTGCTATGAGAACGCAAGTTACCCAAGAGTTCATACATGGTCCACTTCTAATTGTCATATTCATGAATGATTTAAAAAACAGTTTTTTTTATCAAAATTTTTTATTTTTAATTTTTTTTTTTTTTTTTTTTTTTTTTTGTGATCCACCTTGATTTACAAATATAAAAATAAATAGAGTAATGATACTATGAAGGTTTACATAGTATCATTACTCTATATAGAAATTATTTCATTTATATTATTTTTTTATTGAAACATTAAAGTTTTTAAATTGATTTAAAAAATGAGACTTTGCAATAACTAGTAGTCTGGTACAGAAACTAAAAAAAAACGTTCTTTATTTGTAATTGTAATACACATAATACGCAAGAAAAACCATTCTTTCAACACATAATTGTATAGCACGTTTTTTGTCTTTCAGTAAATTTTGTTTTCTTGTTTTTTTAATTTTATTTCTTAAATTCATATTTCAAGATAAAAATGAATGTCATACGAAAAACATCTGTGGAGACACTACTTGTGTAAACACTGTGGGATCTTATGTGTGTGAATGCCCTGAAAGTAGCATTGGAATCAACCTCAATGGAGTTATTAAATGTCAAGGTTTAAAAAAATATTTTTTTGATTATGATTTTGTTTGAAGCTTTAAATCTCTTATTATACTTTTACATTATACTTTTACAATTCTTTTAACATTATTAATATAAAATTTTTACATTTTCAGTTATATAAATAGTTACAAAATATAAATTAAAAAATTATAAATATATACAAATTATTTATTAATTTGTTAGAACTTATATTTTTATACAATTATATAAATTTATAGTTTATGTAATTATATTATGTATAGTTGTTATTTATAGAATTATTATTTATTATTAACTATTATTGGATAAATTGACTATTATAGCATGAGTTATTCTCTGTGCTTGTTTTAATTGTCAGATTATTTGTCTTGGTCATCTGAACAAATGTTAGTTGGTGGTAAAAAAGCTGCAACAATAACTGTTTTAAAGAAAACTTTCACCATTAACTTTAAAGTGAAAATAAGTTCTTATTTTAATGGAAACATCATTAAAATTACAGATAATAGTGGTAATTACATTGATGTTTCTGTGAAAGGTTCAAATATGTTGTTTTATGTATTTGGCAATCAAGCAATGGCTAATATAACTTTGAATCAATGGCTTTCTGTTGCAATTTCTCAATTCAATGGAAGTTTCTATATCTCTTTTAATCAATTCAATGTGGCCAAGTTTGACTCAACATTCAATGGTCCAAATGACTATGCAAATATGAACATAATAATGTCTGATCCAGCTGCAAATGGATCTATCAGTGAACTGAAAATTGCCAATGGAGATGCATGTAAGAATAATATTTAGTGCAAAAACCAAGAAACAATTATGTTTTGTTGGGAGGTAAACTTTTTAATTTTTTTTTCTTTACATAATTAGCAATCTGGGGCAAATGGCAAATGCAATCTCGTTGTCAGCCAGAATGTGGTAACGGGACTGCTACATTTGTTCGAACTTGTAACTCTCCTGCATGCTTATTTATGAATCAAAGTAAAACTGAGTTTTGTTTCATTATGAATTGTAACCAAGGTAACTAAATTTTTTTGATTTAAATTTTATGAAATTAGAACACAAAGTAAATTAATTTACTGAAAATAAAAAAAAAGATGTATTTTTTTCTGAAATATTGATAAGATTAAGAACTAATAAGAAAAATTAATATGATGTATAAATAAGAAATGAATAATAACTTAATGATACATATCTATTATTTTTAAATATATTAGTTTATTTGTTTTACTATATTATTTTATTGTTATTATATATAGGTACTTTAACGTTATTTTATTTTGATAATTATTTTATTATTTCTATTTTTTATTTAAATAATTGGATTATTATTTCTATTTTTTATTTAAAGAATCAGTTTATTATTTCTATTTTTTGACTGAAATTCTATTCACTCTTAAATTAGAATTGTAAGATATAACAATTTTGTATTTTTTGAAAATGAAAATTTAACTTGCTAAAAATAATTTATAGCCTAAAGATTGGTTTAAAATTAATTATATCCTAAAATTTGGTTTAAAAATATTGTCTGAAACGAAAATATTTTAATTTTGAAAACTGTAAATTTAGTAATTCAATTTCTTGATGAATAAATTAGTTTTAGTTTGTATTTATTTAAGAATATTATTAAACAATATTTAATAATATTAATTAAAATGATAAATATTGATAAGATTAAGAACTAATAAGAAAAATATTATTATGATGTATAAATAAGAAATGAATAATAACTTAAATTTAATTATATTTTTTTAGTTAGTCAAAATAATTATGATTTTGTCACAAATTTCTACATAAATTGTTGAATTGAAAAAATTTCTACTATAAACTGCTCTCTATTATATTATTAATGCTAAGTACTAATAATCAATAATAGTTTTTCTCGTGACGTTTTTTTGATTTTTTTTTTAAGGTTTTCCTGTTTTAAAAGATGGCAGCTGCAATGGCTTTGTTGATTTTAAGAATAACTTAGATTTTACGTTATTTTATCAAACTTTCAAACTTGTTGACGTTCAGATGATTCTGGAATACGTGAAAAAATTTTCAGCTGTACAATTGCCATTCGGTTAGATTTACTTTTAATTACATTTTTGTCTATATTTGTAAAATATGCTATTCTGATTTCATTATCTATAAAAATATTGTATTATATTGTTCTTGTTATTTATTGCATAGGAGGGTAAAACAAAATGGGATGCTATGATAAACGAGATAATGATTTCAAGATAATGGAATAATAATTAATATTTAATTTTTTGCAGTTTTGCAATTCATAATTCAGTTTTTATAAAGCTCTGCGTAGTTAGAGTTTAAATAAAAGATTATCCCATCGTAGGGGTAAAATCAGGATCAACGTAGGAGTGTCCATTGGAGAAATAAATGTTTTCTCTAGAGTTCTAGAATAAGAATTTTATTAGAATGCTATTGTATTATTGAGAATAAGGACTCCTTGATTTAATAGCCAGAATTTAAAAAAATGATAGGTTTAAAGATGCTAAAAGTTAAATTTTTTATTTATTTATAAAGCACAAAATACATTTAAGATGCTAACAATTAATACGTGATTTGTCACAAAAATAATTTATTTTCGTTTTAATTTTGAAATTTTTTTTTTTTTTTTTTTTTTGAATTCTAATTTATTTCTATATAAATTATTTTTATATTTAATTCTATTTGATTCTAACTTCAATGTTAAAATATAAGTATAAGTATATCTGATGCTAGCCAGTCTTCATCTATATTACTTTGGAAGGTATGACATGAAGGAGTAGTCATGGTCAACCCTCCTTTATATTAGCAAAAATAAAATAGTTTGAAAATATTGTTTTCTTTTGATTTAAAGTTTGTAACGACACATTCAACCGAAATATTTTGGATGACATTAACGCAGCCTACAATTATTCTGCCGATGGTTTATCGAGCCTTTTGAATGTTAAAAACATCTTGCGTAATTATATTAGCTGCCAACCTAATGTTTTGAAAAATCTACCTGGTTCCAGTCTTATAATGGCTATGTTTGAGAAATACGATAACATAGTGGAGCGTTATTTTGCAGTCTCAAATCTTTTTACTGTTATTAAGAATAAACAGAGAGAAGTAAAACAAAAAGTTGATATGTGCAGCAAACAAGGTAGAATATTAAACAAAGTAGATATGTGAATATTAAACATATATGTGTATACTTCAATAATTTTATCTACTAAATATTGACATTTTTTTAACTTTTAGGTTTGGTTAATATTTTGCACGACAATGCCAATGCTAACAAATATAATAATATAATGTTGTCAAGGTAACAGCAGTAATTAGATTTTTTAAACCTTTTTTTTTTTAATAATAAAATAATTTATTGGTTTTATTATTTTCCTTAGTTCATGATGATGCGTTATGGCGACTGCAGTTTTTTCATTCAATATGATTTCATTTTGTTGTTTTGATGTTGCACTTATTCTTTTAATGTTTTGATATGCTGAGTTTTTTATTGTGATCTTGTTTTTCGTGTTGGATACGCAAACTAATGCAACCAGAAGGTAGCTCAATACTCGATACACGAATATAATTTTTTTACTATGTGTTTGCAAACGACTTGGTTTTCATAAAAGCCTAATTTGAAAAAAAAAAACAGTTGTTTTTATTTTCTCTTAATTTTCGTATATATTTTAATTTATATAATTCTTTAATTTTACCTGTAAAAAAATTAATCAAGTCAGCATTTTTTAAGTTTGTGAAAACGTAATTATTATTAAAGAAAATATTTAATAATTCAATATATTATTGCTTTTTATATGGATATAAACCGGCTTAGCATCCTTCCTATACTGTTTTTAATTGCATTATTTTCTAATGCAGATAAAAATATTGTTGCGAGATTAGTCCATCATAGCAAGATAAGCTCATTTAATTAACTTTGTAATTTGTTATTTTTTTATTAGGAACAATTTACTTTAAATATCTAAAAGTGAAACAAACAAAAAACTTAAAAGTACTTTGAATAACAGGGTCGTTTCTGTAGATACTTTGTTAAACACAAAAGCTTGATAAATACATTAGTCCTCTTTCCAGAAGTTGTTATTCCGAAGATCGTTGCGTACTAACTTAATACTTTAACTCACTAGACTTAGGTTTTATTTTATTTTTAGATAAAGTTTATTACTCATAAATTTGGTAAATATTATTTTTATTAAAAAAATTGATACAGTTAAAAAAAAAAAAAAAAAAAGCCTTGTGGATGGCAACTCGATTTTAATCCGATTCCGTCAACAACGGATTTGCCGTGCATGTATGTAAAAAAAACGTGAGTTTAATTATCTTTTTGTTTCCTTTTTGTAACACTTGTAATGACTCCACAATACACTTTATTTTTGAACTGAAATATGGTATTATCACTTTAAAATGTAGTTAGTTACATTTGTGAAACCTAGGTTTTCGTTGGATGTTTTTTATGTCCTGATGCAACTTCAAGTGAATTTTATTGGTATCGATGATATGATACACCTGAAGAAAACAGTAAAATCGGAGTATGACCGTAATGAAAGTTTTATGGTTCATTTTAAGTAATGAGTTTATATATCTGTGCAAAATTTCTCTGATAGCCTCGTTGAAGTTGGTTTCATACATTTATTATTTGATGATACACTCTAGTTAGATTAATTTTTACATATGCGTGATCCGAATAATCAAAAGCTAGTTCGAATACTTCAAATAATTACTCACTTATTGGTCTAAACTTCCTCAGTATTGCAATGAACGTTAAGACAAGTTATTTTGATTCAGTTTTTACCCATTTTTGCAAAGTTACTGGTTTAACTAAATTCTCAATTTCATACTATGAAATTTAAATATTTATTGCATCTATACAATATTTGAATTGGCTCGGGAAACACTCAAGAAGTGGAATACTGCATGTAACATTAGTTTCCACGTCATTGTCATCAAATGATCATTTACTCATCATGATCGAATAAGATTTTCCTAAAGCAACTAATTTGAAACTTTTCGTCTAAAAGGAAAACAAAAACACTATGTACTTTGATGATTGACAAAACATTACACAGTTTTAGGTAAAAAAAAATTGTCCAATAATAATATTTTTTTCTTTAAAAAATTATAAATTTCTGTATTTACTATAAAATGTTTAACACTAAATAAGGTCAGGTTAACATTGTTCAGGTCAGGTTCAGGATCATCACGATCACCCTGCTCCTTGCATTATGTAGCCCAGTAATATCTGCCCATGCCCAGCTGCCTTGTTGAATGTGTTTTTTTAGGCAAAGGCTAGGAGAAATAAACTCCAACTTTAAAATCCCCTGCCTTTGGCCTCTTGGTTGAGTTAAGACTAGAGGTTGCGTATCGATAAAAATACTCATCTTGGGCAGATGGTTACTGCATCTAACAAAAATTTCACTGCCTTGGGGCTTTTGGCCATAGTTTGGGAAACTTTCCTACCGGCTGGTAGTAAACTTTGTAGTAGCTCTCAGAGAAGCTGATTCCATCAACAGCTGCAAAATATCAAAGTATTAAAAGTGCCAAGTTGATCATGGATGGCGGTCCTGTAAATGCATTTGGTGTGCATTGACAAGGCCACATAAGGAGCCTCACGTTACAACTTAGAGTCAGTTAAAAGGGCTGAGAAAACTCCATAGCTTATTGCTTAAGTTCTGCTATTCCTTCTTCTGATCTCAGAGTTGATGTGTACTATCCTTTGATTTGCAATGACTCCACTAGTCACATGCTTGGCTTAGGGATATAAATACGCATTAATTCACCTATTTGTTGCGAAATCAGGTTTGAATCCTTTGACCATTCTTATGTGTGCTACCGCTTAGCACCTTTACCACCTTTCACTTTACCACCTTTCTCATTGTTCTTTATCGTTCTCCTTCTTCCCAAGACTCTTTTAGATGTAATTTCTAATCAAATTGACCATGCCCTCCCTTTTTATCATTCTACCAATATTGTTGTTATTGCTGACTTTAATGCTCATGACACTGAATTGCTTATCTCTAACGCCACTCACTTTGGTGGCACTAAAGCCTATAACTTCTGCATTTCTCAATCTTTTAAACAGATAGTTAACTCTGTGAATCGTTTTTCCTTAATCATTTACCTTCACTTCTTGACTTAAGTCTGGTCTCTGATATATCTTGTGTTCAATTTCTCCTTTTTCTCTTTTAGGTTGTTCAGTTTCTATGATCTTTTTCAATCTTTCATCTCGTACTTCCTTTTACAACTTACCCTATCATCGCACTACTAACTACTACCCTAAAGCTGACTGGGATTCTTTTCGTGATTTTCTTCGTGACGGTCCTTGGGTTGATGTCTTTTCCGTCTATGTAAAATGCGCCTCCTACATAACCTCCCGCATTCAGGCAGGAATGAAAGCTTTTATTCCTTCTTGTCGATTCCAAGTCAAACCTCATTTTACTCCATATTTTTCAGCTTCTTGTGCAGCTGCTATATTTAATTGTAATCAATATTTTCATCTTTTTCAAATGACCAACTCTCTTGAGAACTAATGACTATTTATTATTGCAAGAAATTGATGTAAAAAGGTGCTGTCAGATGCTAATTAGAATCTGACAGCACCTTTTTATATTACCCGCTTATATTATGAAACTGTCCAACGCTTTCGACGTTGGCCCGACGTTGGTCCAACTTATGTGTGCTAGCTGGGAAGTTCCATTATTCTTAGCTCACTAAATATCTCATCTCAGAAGTTCGGCTCTAGAGATTTTGAAAAATCTTCAACAACGTCATTAACAAAAGTAGGTCGAACATTTCATCTTTTATTCACGAGACCAATCTTATTACCTCACCTAAGAATAAGACTGAACTACTTGCAAATAAATTTTCTTTTAATTCCACTCTCAAATCTTATGGCCAATATCTTCCTTCCATTTTAATTAAAGAAGTTAACCCATTGTTAGACATCACTCCAGCTTCCGTTGCTAAATATATATCGTGATTAAACTCTTCTATGATTTGTAGTCCAGACAACATTCTTGTCAAAGTCTTATAAAATTTTTCTCCAAAACTCTCTTCAATACTCTATAAACTAATTTAATAAGGGCTTGACTTATTGGAATGTTATCAGTAAATGTTACCAGTAGTCTTATTTTCCTGACTGCAGGATAATGTCATCTGTTGTTCCAAATTTGAAAAACTTAGGAGAACATTCTGACCGCTTCAATTAACGTTTGATTAGTTTTCTTTCTGTTATTAGCAAGGTCTTTGAGTCTTTGATAAACAAATTTCTCACATCCTATCTTGAGGCTGACTTGCTATCTGCTGTGACTGAAAGATTTTATCGTGTATCAGATGGAGGCGGAGAGGCTAGGGCTATTACTCTTGACATATCAAAGGCTTTCGACAATGTTTGGTATGCTGGTCTTCTCCACAAGCTTGTTTCATATGATGTATCTGGAAAAGTTTTTGAGATTATCAAATCGTTTCTTTCTAACCGATTTATTAAAGTCTTACTCGAAGGCAAACACTCTTTTTATTTCTAGTAACTTTTAGGGTACCTGAAGGTTCTATCCGTGGTCCTGTTTTGTTTCTTATCTACATTAATGATCTTCCCGACAACCTTACATCTAAAGTTGTTCTTTTTGCAAAACGATCAACTTTACACTTTTGTCTTGACAAAAAGTCTTCTCTTTTCGATCGCTTAGAACAGGCAGCCGATCCTGAATCTGATCTCACTTCTGTAACAGATTGGGGCTCACAGTAAATTATAAATTTTAACTGCAACAAAACTCAGTTATTTACTGCAAACAACTATTGCAGTACTGTCGACATTTCTATCTTAATAAATGGCAACCTTCTCACTCAATCCTCTTCTTGACATCTTCTTGGATTATTGTTTACTACTGACCTTTAATAGAAACCATATATACAATCAATTGCTAAATTAACATCCTCTAAGGTTGCTTCTCTTTATTGTACTCGCCATTTTCTCTATGCTGACTCCATTCTCTACCTCTACAAGTCTCTTATTTGTCATTGTATGAAATTCCGTTGTCATGTTTGGGCTGGTTTTTCTAATGAATCTTTTTCTCTTCTAGACAAGGTCCAAAAACGGATTGTAAATGTAGTTAGACTTGCTCTGCCTGCAAAGCTTGAGACTCTTTCTCTTTTCTGCTAATACTTTGGTCGCTCCTCAAGGAGTTCCATCAACTAAAAATCATTCTCGCTTAACTTGTCATTCAGCAAAGTCTCATTATTTTACTGTATCTGTCCTTGCATGCTCTAAAAACTCTTATTCGTCTAGTTTTTTGTCCCACACCTCCACTCTTTGGAACTCTCTCATCTTCATGTTTTACTGACTCATACAACCTTCAAATTTTAAAGTCTTTGGTCAACCATCTTTCCTCTCTGTAACTCTATTCTTTTTTCCTAGTAACTCCCAACTTAATAGTGGTTGCTTGCAGCCTTGTTGGGAGTAAATCAGAAGTAAAAAAAAAAAAAGATTTTTCTTTACTCCATATCTTTACAAAGTTTGATCTGTTTGGCGATGCTCCATATTTACCATCACTCAGATAAAAACTTTTTTGCAATTTGACAATATCCCCAGCTAAACTTTGAATTGTTGCTTACTTGAATAACGGTTGATTTTTAGCTGTCAA